AGCAAAATTAACATCATGTAGAATAGGGAGTTCCAAGTTTGTATATTTGTTGAATGTATACGTGTTACCTTGAATTGACCGATGCACACTGTATTGTGCTTGTGTATGTGATCGGGAATCGTTGCATGAACGCGTTGACGTTATATACAGTATACAGATTAGAACCACAGTAAATAATGACATCATTGGCTTTCATTACATAATTAGTCATACTTGTTGCTCTACCACCAATATTCGGGAACATGGCACCCCTGGGTCAACGTGCGAAATAATGCACTGAAAAATGATAGAGGATATATAATTACACATACATGTAATTAAAATGAGCCATTCAAATCAGCATTATCCACATCAATGTGCTGCATGAAATTGTGATTTTAAATATATTGGAGATTAATATTATTTTCTACAACACTCATTTTTCAAGTGCAGTCAACGAGTAAATTTGCAAAAATGATCAACAGTAATCTAATTTATGAACATTATTAAGGCTTAATTTAATTTGGAGGGGAGAGGTTAATCTCTTCGCAACCCTCCTCCCTCTCAACCAAATTAAATTGCCCTCCCACTATTTTTTGCTCCCACTGCCTTCTCCCCACAGCGTTTGTGTTCCGCACTGCCATTTCCCCACTCGGTTTTGCTCCCACTGCCCTCTGCCCACTCAGTTGTTGTCCCTTGCAGCCTTCTCCCCACTCAATTTTGCTATCCACTGCTCTCTCCCCGCTCATTTATTTTGCCTCCCCTCTGGACGCGCAGTTGTTATCAACTCTCTCCCACCCAGTTCATATTGTCCTAATTTTCCCCTCTCAACAGTTTCTGTTACCTTCTCTCTATCATTTCCAAGAGAAGAAGTTAAAGTCGCGATTATTTTAATTAATTGTTACAACAGAAGTGCGTAAAACCCCTCCCACAATAGGCGCTGCTTGTTTTTCATATACGAACCGTGACGCCAGTAACAGTGCTAACAACTTGCTAAAAAGGGTATAACCCAGGAAGGATTAATTTAATCAGATTGCCCTTTTGCAAAAAACTAACGTGCACTGGACTGCAAAATACAGGCATTGTTTGCGAAGATTGCCATCGGTGGTGGCGTTCAATCAAATTGATCACGTGCTGAGTGCCACAAATGGACAATGCAGTTTGCGCCATTGTTCTACTCTCTTTTGGCCAGTCTAAATATCCCTCCCCTTTGGCAATTTGGTTCTTGATGCCCACGGAAAATTCTGCATTTTGCCCTTACCCGCTCAATCTAAAAATAGAACTTGCCTGCCCTCTGAATAAAAACCTTCTCCTACTGGAATTCCCCTCTGAGAAACCCTATTTTCAATGCCCTCTCACTGAAGATGTTTTATTTTTCTTTCTAACTAGACTCCCAAATATCGTACCACCGGAAATCAAATTGTACGTCAACAACTTAAACTTACCACAATCGTCTTCGTCCGAATTGTCGTCGCAGTCTTGGACGCCATCACATCGCCAGTCATAAAAAAGGCACTTACCATCACTACATTCATTCATATGCATGCATTACAATGTTACATCATGGTACTGTAAGTTGAATAAGAAACACGACTGTCAATAAGATATAATTAGGATAGTTACGGTATATGCAATAGATAATTTTAACGAGTGTAAAAACTTATTTTGTTGTGATTTGATCGAGAGAGGAGGATGAATCAAGCGTTTGTTTTCAAATAATGTATCTAATATTTGCGTCATGTTAAATAATTATTCAAGAAGGTAGTCGATTCGGACAATCAAGTGATTAAACGAAACAGACGTATTAAGTACCGCTGAGATATTGAAATATTTATTCAATGGTCCTGTCCTAATAATAATTTTTTGTGTAATTCACAACAGAAGTAATGTAAGTGGGATTGCGAATATCTCTATCGTCTGCCACATTGTCATTATTTCATCTATTTTGCTGTACCACGTTCTTTACTAACATATTACATTTATTGTTATATTTTTAGTAATTCATCGTACCAACACTGTATTAACTATTATACGATTTATGAATAACGTTATTTTGGTGTTCAAAATTAACACTTATGTAGGTGTAACTCGTTAAGGCGTGGAATAACAGTACGTGAAACAGTATCAGTTGTCTTGCTGAAACACTTTAATTGCAATATGGAAAATGTTTTCTATCGTACATTATATCAGAGTTATATTAAAAGGTGTAATGTTATCAGTCGTACTATGCACGTCTTTCATAGTATACTAATACATGTAAAACCACAAATAATTTTGAATTAATTTCAGCAAATTGCTAAAACACAAAAAGAATACCATGTCAATTATGCGTTATTATATTTCTTCAAATACATGTACACCGTGAAACCGATATG